GTCCAGCATCCATGCAATGAGAGGTATACTTGACCAATACATCACGCGCAGTGAGATCAATGCGCGACACCGACGCAAGCAATGCAGCACGCCACTCTCTACAAGATGTTGCATCTGTTGGCAACTTGGTGATTGAGATGTTTCTCAAGTGCTTGATTTTGTACACGCTGTCTTCGGTTTCACCGTCAAGCAACCAAGATTCAGGAGGGTTGCCTGCCGGCATTCTTGAGCCTTCATCGGATGAGCCATCCGAGCTCTCTGATCCTCCACCAGACTCCGATGACTCCTTCTTACGAGGTGTCGCAATGGAGATGTTTGGAGGGTGACTAGATGATGATACACCTGGAGGTGCTTCTGGAATAGTGCCGATGTACCCCCCTGGTGGGTAAGCCGGTCCCATTGAAGCTCTTGGGAACGATGGCATGGCCGGAACGGCCCGTTGAAGTCCTACACCAGGAACAGGAGCACTCCCTGACTCTGAAACAGCCTTTGGGGTCGACATTCCATAGATCAACCTGGGATCAACACCAAGATGATGAACATGTGAACCATCATGCAATGTACCACACGGCATGCCATACGGTCCCGGGCCGCCAGGGGCTCGAGGAAGAGGAACTTCTGCATGGGATGGTCCTTCATGCGACGCAATGTTCCTTTGCATGTTGACTGGCTCCCTGACGGTCGCGACACTAGAGGGTCGCGTAGGCACTGGGTACATATATCTTTCATGAGAAGATGGTTCAAAAGGGTCCGTACCATTCTCGGGCTCTTCAAGACTACTCTTGCAGTTCCAACACCAACCACGACCAACGACGTTTTGATTCCCACACACATGGCAGTAAACAACATTCAATGGCGAGGCTGAAGCAACCGATGGGGCTCTTCCGGCTTCCGACGGACACGCATCAAAGTAGCCTGCAACAGGCGAAGCTCGGAGTGCTTCGTTTTCTCGCGCAAGGTCTTGACACCTTGCTTCTGCTGCAGCTGTCACGCGTTGTATCTCGCGTCGTGCTTGTTCTGCTATCTGCTGATGCTTGAGTATTTCTGCTTGTGCCTCTGTTGTGATCTGGTTGATTCTGCTGTGTGCTTGTTGTGCCATGTTGGCTTCTTGTTGTTGTATGTGTTGGTTCATCTGTTGATGTTCAAGGCTCAACTGTAGTGCTGCATTTTGCTGCTCAAGTTGATGTTGTTGTCGTTCATGCTGTATCACCTGTTCTGCATGGTTCAACTGCGACTGAACGTAACCCTGAACAATTCTTTCAAGTGTCTCGGGATCGATGTTGTGCTGGTTGAGTACTTGTAGATGGTTGAGGGTTCTCTGATCATAAACATGCACCCCAGGAACAGTCGATGGATCACCTTGTACCCCAGAAGGTTGGGAAGGTTCGGAACTCTGAGCTCGTGTACGACTCACTGCAACCTTTGTGTTTCCCTTGGCCGGCACGCTCACTTGGAGCCCGGTTCCTCCACCAGTTCCCAAATCACCCTCCATCCTCGCAAGCCCAGTCTCCGGAGAAATGGATGAACTCGAGGTTTCGTAGGAGCCTTCAGGACCGATGACACGAAAGGGTGTTGCAGGAAGCGACCGTTTTGACATCGACTATCCGGTGCAATGCAACGACTCTCAACTCAATCTGCCAACTCAATCTCAACACACTCAAATCTCGACCCGACTCTGTTGAAGGACTCAACTAACTACAAATCGTTTGTTCACGAATGCTCAAAACCAACAACCAACACTGTCTCGACACACTGAGCAGCACCACCTCCTCTTTTCACTGCCGGCACGCGACGTTTGTCGCGGAGTTTATTGCCACGCGCTGAAAGCTGCGATTTTTGGCAGTGGGACGCGTAGAGACGCAGTCGACGAGTCGCGTCCGTCGCGTTGATACGCGAATCAGACGCGAAGGCAGCAGCACAAGCTTCGGCCACTGACACTAACCAATGTTCAACTACCAACCAATGAATTGTCCTCAACACAACCAATGTCTGACCACACAAGATCAATGTTGTAGCAACGGCCTCAACCCGACTCGTAGCCTTAGCAGACAGGTTTATTGACCAATGTCACCGAATTCAACAGCAATGTATCACCAGCCTCAACCCAACACGTAGCTTTTGCAGAAGGGTTTATCGACCAATGATGCAATGCCCACTCTCGACCAATGTACAAGCACACTGGTCGTCTCCTTCTCGTCTCACCTGGTCCCAAAGATCCTGCCCAGCTCTCTGGCGGTGGGCAGCTCACTGGTCCTCGGGAACGTCCTGAGCGTTCTCTCAAGTGGGACCAAGGCCTCACTCGGATACAATGCAGCACGAATGCAGTGGGTCTTGTGTCCGATCGGCACGTTCTGCTGGAGGGTGCGCACGTCGTTCAGCAGTGACCCTTGGTCGTCAACGTATACGATCGGGCCAAACTGCGCGACCAACTTCGCTTTGCTTCCAACGTGCCCGGTAATCGATGCTCCCTGCTCGGTGTCTGTGGAAAACTTGGTTCGCGTTATCGCGAAAATGTCAAAGGACCAACCAAGTCGACGCTCAAGTTCAGCGACACCAGCTGCAACGCCTTCCTGAGTAGCCTTATTTGAGGCGAAACTGAGGATGCCGATGGAGAACCCTTTCTCCTTGACCGTCCTCAATGTCTGTACGGTCGCCTCTGCAACCGGTGGGTCGTTGTTCGGAAAACTGAGGGTTTTGTGGAAGTCCAGCAGCACGAGTGGTTTGTCTTGCCAATTCGGCGGCGCACCACGTGGCTCGGGAGGTCGAGACGATGGAGATGGTGCCGTTTGCTCTGGCTGAGCTGGTCTCTCCTTTGGTCTGGGCGCGAGGACCACTGGTCGGACCTCTTCAGTTAGACGAGGTTTCGACGCTGCACGAGTCAACGGCACGGGAGGAGTTCTCGGTGCTGGAGGTGGAGTCGGCAAGCTTTCAATCTCACGCTTCCTGGCAGCCTCTGTCTGCTCAACTTCCTCCTTTGTAGGAACAGGAGGCGGAACCGGAAGTTCTTCAAGAGCTCGCTTCAGGCCCGATCCAGAAGAGCCTTCACCTTTGTGATGACGCGAAGGCGTGTCACGACCAATGGCACGCTTCAATGCACCAACCGCTGACTGCTCACGCACAATGTCTCCAGTCTCACTTGACTCCTTTCGTACCTTGGCCTTAGCCGATGTTGCGGTTGGTGGAGGTTTGACACGCTCTTCAACTGGCGGTTTCTCCTCAAACTGTTCCTCGCTCACTGACGGCGAAGGTTTGCTTGTAGACGGCCTGGGGGCCTTCGAGCGAAGTTCACGGGCCCGTTCACGAAGGGTTTCCGGTTCTGCCGACACCGAATGCTCAGTGGCCTCCTCTGTAGCCTGTCTCGCGATCGAGTCCTCGGTCGCTGAAAAGTCAACAGCCGATGCACCCTCAGGAGCAGGTTCAACGGCCTCAGCAAGGCGCTCTCTGGGCTCACCTGTCACGGTATCGACAGATTCTCCCTCAAGCTCAACCTCCTCTTCGGGGATGTCGTCGTCAGCCGACTCCTCCTCGGGCTCGGGGCTCTCAGGAACCCAAACCCACAACTGCCGCCACTCTCCGCGAGCTCGTGATCGCGATCTCTCGTCTCGACCACGCTCAACGTACTCGCTCTCCTCCTCTGTCTCGCTAGGTGGCCTCGGCGGTGCACGCCGGGTTTCCCACGTTTCCGTAACGTGGGGCGGCGGATGCCGCGGCTGACGCGGGGACCTGGCACGATAGACCTCTCGGTGCCTCGGCCAGTCTCTGCTGTCGCGACTTGCGTCGCGAGCTCGACCACGCCCACGAGCAACTCGTCTGTATTCAACACCGCGATCTCGATGCTGATCTCGATCCGCACCTCTTCCACGGTCTTCTGTCGGGAGACCACGCTCCCTTCTCGACTGCTGACTTGGCCTGTTCGGATCACCTCCACGGGGACCCCGTCTCCGACGTGAGCGTTCACGCTCACGCTCACGAGGTGGCATGGATCGCGCTCAGAAGCGCGGGGCAACAAGTGTTCGAAAGAAGTTTCAACACAATGCCACCGTTTCTCTTGACAAGCTTGTCTTGATGTTTGTGTATGGTCTCGTTTCTTCACGTCCTCGTAGCTCTTGCGGCTGATAACCAGATAAGTTCGAGAACCTTGGTCTATACGTAGTAGGCCGACACAATCGCGATCGAATCCTTTCGGTCGCGGCACGGTCTGTTTTCCCAAAGTCCTTGAGCCAAATCAGGTTGGCGTCCAGTGATACAGTGCAAACGGCAAAGCCGATTACCGATGATGCAAGTCTTTACATGACAATTCCAGTCTTGGATAAGTTCTCCTAGACATCAACTATACATGACGTGTCATCTATACATGAAGTGTGCAACCTCACTCAAAGCTCAGTTCTTCTTGGGGACGTTTCTAGCTGAGGGATTTCTTCTCTTACTAGTAGTAACAAGGTTCGCTTTCGGAGTCCTTGGATCTGGACGGTTGATCGGTTGATCGATGTGTTTGGATTCGTCAAGCCCCAGACCGTACGGATGACTCAAAGACAAGGTACGGCAGCATATATACAATCTATAGTAAAGAATGCAAAATTAATTGTCTATATATAGATATACAATACAATATAATGTAGCAATGATTAATCAAACAGTCAGCCTGCCATGGTTTTGAGGAGAGTTATTGAAAGCACCCAAATACTGTTTTACTCCCAGACCTACGCGGCGGGTGTTGCCGCCTCCCCCCCGCCGCTCCCTCCCAAATCGCAGACTCGGAGCGTGTCCACGCTTGCTTGGAGGGTGCGAATAGTGGAGGATGCCGCTGTCCGTTGGGGGAGATCAAGTGCAAATGTGCACATTCGAAGGGGTTTATAACAAGATCTCCCGATGATCTTGTTGAACAAGTGCGAACATAGGGGTTTATAAAGGTGAAAAGAGTTGAACAAGATGATACCTCCGGAATTTCTGAGCGCGGCAGCTTGGGAGCTTCGCCTGGAGTGGGGTCTGAGGTTCCGAGCTGTGGGCAAAGGTGCAATCGGCATCTGTGCATCCACCACCTCAATGGGCAGCCCCATTCGACCCATCCAATGAATGTCTGAAGCCAACGATGGAAAGGACTTCTTCGGCGGCTTTGTACAGGCGAATGTACACTTTCTTTCATCAGTAGTTGCTAAAAACAAGTCCATGTGGCTCTGAGGTCCAAGCCCTCAAAAAAATTGACGCAAAGTCGTGTCTTCCGCAGATCTGGAGTCGCCTTCCAGCCAGGCCAAATCAATGACTGCATGGTCAGAATGGATGTCCCAACACCAACAAAGGGTGCTTCCTGTCTCCACAACCAAACTCGACCAAACTGCCTGAAGCTCGGCGCAGGAGTGAGCGAAGGAGCACTGGACGCCGAACTGACAAGTACCCTTCAAGTGGTACCTGTAGCACTCACATGCGTCGGACGAACGGACGACTCAAAATATAGAGATGCGCAAATCTGATGACTCACTTTGTAAGGAGATGTCATCAATGAATACCGACTACTGCCAGGGGTATTCAGAAGCATGACCAACTAGTGAAGTCTTTTTTCAACCCAGTATTACCCAGCCAGACCTACCAAATTCCCAGCGACCCTTTCCAAGATGTACGAAAGACAAGTGTTTCGTTGTGCTGAAAGACCTAGCCAGATGTCAGTGGATGATAGGGGATGTATATCTGAAAAACCACGTGCTTTCTGCGCACAAAACCGCGCAGTGCGAACTTCGAGGGCACCAAGCAGAACTTCGTC